CGGCACGGCGACCACTGATTGGCCTATTGTACCTGCCCCGGGTGATTATGATGATGGAGAATTTAGTGGAATGAAGATTGGCAGGGGAAACCGAAGTACTCGGAGAAAACCTATCCCAGCGCCTACAAACTTCTGTGTTGCGATCGAACTTAATGAAGGGTCTTAAATATCTGTAAAACATCTTACAAAATGTATAACTTCTGTTAATGAGATTGTCTTTTCACAGGATGTAAACAGTGAAATGACGGTCGATATAAATCTATTTTCATATTAATCTTTTTTAATATTCCAAGCATATTCCTGGTACTTAGGCTGCGTCGACCTCAGGGCCATATTGCGGCTGGAAGTATTAGGTCAATTGAAAAAATCCAATGACCTCATCGCGACTCGAACTCGCGACCTTCCGGCTTGCAGCATACATGTCATACATGTATTTGCAAATTTCTTACGAGATGCACGAATATCTCGTACCTATGTTATTATACCCTAACATGAAATGACAAAGCACCTAAGATGCAGCATTAGGTCAGTGTGCTTCGTTTATGGGTAAATTCCGTATGTTGTATATATAAATGCAACTGTCTGTAAATCAGCCGATATGCCCTATATGGCAAGGCGATATCAGGTTGGACAACGTCTTCGATGACGTAAAGTTAACATGCTTCAGCTTATATATATATACACACACAGATAGACAAATATATATATGTGTGTGTTTCATTAGATTCATAGAGATTTTCTCGAAACCACTATGGGATGACCCAGAACAAGATGATGCATCCACTGCTGGAACACATAAAGAAGCGAGAAAAGAGCTAACAAGAAATTGAGAAGGAAGGACTGGAAGACAGAAGAGACAGGAAATTTTTTGTCTATTAACCTACATAAAACAACAGCAACACAATTACAAGAGAAGGCAGAGGGGGTAGGAGGAGGAAGAGGAGGAGGAAGAAGAAGAAGAAGACAACTGATTTTAATGTGCGACATTGTAGGCCCGTGACTGGAGTGTTAAGACCTGACGCTGCTCTGAACGTTTGGCTTACACACCAGGCAGTCCTAATTTACGCTTGTTGGGATGGAGACTCCGTCACAGTAAGGCCAGTATTCACCTGATGGTGGTTTGGAAAGAAACAGAAGAATCACACGATAAAGGGTCTTGATAAATAGCAAATGATTCATCTAATTTTAATAAATGCGCACTTTCCTACTGTATGCTTCAATTGACATCAACTGTTGCCACATTACGCGGGTTCAAATACTCGGCGGAGGTCGTCGAATTTTTAAGGGCGGAAAAATTCAGGGAACAAGTTCTCCGGGAGGGACTTTAAGCCGTGGGTCCCGTGTCGTAGCTTTACGGCACGTAAAAGAATCTCATATCTCCAAAGGAGGTCACTGAGCCAAATTACGGACGTTTCCCGCCCAACAGCAGTCTCTAATACCTCTGGTAGATGGGGGAAGCAGTATAGATACCTCTCAGCTAGTAGAGGCCGATCTTGCTGGCTGGGCGGGACTGATGGTAAGCACCAGTACCGGTAGGATATAGAGACTGGTAGAAATCATAGAGGGAAGCACAATGGACCAATACAGGTCTAAGTGCATGGTGAAACCCACCCTCTCCAATAACTAACTAACTGTTGCCACAAAGAAAAGGGAGCTGAGAACATTACAAAATATACTGCACCTGAAGTTCTCACAGTAGTGGCTATGAAGAGTGGTCTTCGACGCTAACGATGGATGCAGAATTTTCCTCCGAAACGTCGGTGGACTTCCACAAGACTACTTGTCGTTATATCACAGATCATTTTCGAAGAATGCAAACGAAGAAGAGCCAACAGACAATAACATGTTCCCTTGAAGAACCAATTGATACTGCAGATGGCTGTAACAGTAACTTAGAAAGGTCCACCCTAACGCCCAGCTACAACAACAACCTACCGACTTTTTCAGTGCAATCAAGTGCATACACAGACACACACTATCAATCAACTGATGATTTTAAACAAATTTCTTAAGTATACTTCAATGTCATGCACTTTGTAAACCTGTTTGCGGAATTACTGTAGTGGACTCAGGCGCATTTCTTCTGTAAGTTTCGGATGAATCTTAACCTAATTTCAGCCAAAGTGTCAGGAACTCAGCAACGACGATTTTACGCGCAACCCAAACGACAATAAGAACAACAACCCCGACGTCCAGGCCGAATATCTAACACAACTACTTTGCATTCGGGAGGTCCCGCAATTGAATATCCTTACCGAGGTTTTCCTCAATCCCTCCAAGCCAATTCTGGGGCAGTATGTAGAATTCGACCACGACCGCTTCATTCCACAGGCTTCCTAATTCATTATTCATTAACCAGCCTATCCGTCTGCGCCGTAGAACGGCCCACAAATAATAAGAACAACGGTGGCAACACCGAGCAGGCGATAACTACCACAGAACCTATGCAGTGACTGCTGGGGAACCAGCTTTATATTCCGTGCAGGGATCAGGGATCTGGCCCTTCTCCACAACAGATACCGAGTCCCAGGGGCAAAGGGGTCGGGCATCGAAATTAACAATGCGTGGACTTATACCTCTAGTCCCCCATACGTCTTAATTAAGCACATGCACAATTCTATTATTATTCTTGTCTCATAACATGAAACCGTGACCACATAGAAGGTAAATGGGAGAAAAGTAATTAAACGGTTCACCTGTGAAGAGTTCTACGTTCTGGGATATAACGCTGTGTAGTCCGTTGAAAGTCAACCGACGTTTCAGAGGAACATGTCTTCGAAGAACAAGTCGAGCAAGAAACCAGCGTGAAGCTGGTCAGGAAGCAAGCGTTAGAATCGGCTTGCAGCTTGCTAGCTGCTTCATGCTGGTTTCTTGCTCGACTTGTTCTTCGACCCTGAAGATGGAGATGAGAGGTTCCTCAGAAACGTCGGTTTATTTTCAACGGACTACGCGGTGTTATATCCCAGAACATAGAACTCTTCATTACCACCGCTGTGAGAACCTCAAGTCATAAATTCACTTGTGGACACTGTTCCCACATACGGACTGCTACTGGTCAATTTTCTAATGTAAAAGCAAATTCGTACGAATGCCTTCTGGTAGATTTTAAGATATAACAACAGTCACTGTTTCTACTCTGAGTATACAACATTCACGACCGACACACAGAACCACTGTCTGTCCCCCCCCCCACTAAAACATCACATCATTACGTACTTACTTATGGATCTGAGCCCTTCTTGAGAAGCCGCCAATTGTGCAGCTACGCAAGAATTTCCCAGCATTTTATGGAACCCGAAGGTTCATTACCGTGTTCACAAAAGCGCTCCACTGATCCCTATCATGAGCCAGATCAATCCAATCCATACCATCCCATCCTATCTCTCTAAGATCCATTTTAATATTTCTCACCCACCTACGCCTTGGTCTTCCAAGTGGTCTCTTTCCTTCTGGCTTTGCCACGAATATCCTATATGCATTTCTCGTCTCCCCCATTCGTGCTACATGCCCTGCCCACCTCATCCTCCTTGACTTAATCATTATAATTATAATCACATCATTACAAACTGCAAATAAAGAGTGTGGCTCATGCCTCTGCCTGTACTCCGTAATTTTGAATTCACCTATAGTCAGCCTCTAACGACCAACCATCGTTCTCATTTCTGTTGTGGCAGAAGGAAATAGAGTTAATTACGTGTCCCGCCTCATGCGAGTAGGATAGCTATACACATTAACAGTCAAACCCAAGACGCAGTTCTCTACAAGACAGCTCAGTCTTCAGACCATGATGTGTAGCAGGCCTGATGTAGTGAGAAATAGCAATAATGCTGCTGCGAGAGCTCAGTTGGTATAGCGACGGGGCGGGCGGGCGGGCGGGCGGACGGACGGACGGGCGGGGGTTGATT